GGAGTTGTCACAGCTGCTCTTTGCTGATGACACTGTGCTCTTGGGAGATTCTGAAGAGAAGCTGCAGAGATTGGTGGATGAATTTGGTAGGGTGTGCAAAAGAAGAAAATTAAAGGTGAATACAGGAAAGAGTAAGGTTATGAGGATAACAAAAAGATTAGGTGATGAAAGATTGAATATCAGATTGGAGGAGAGAGTATGGAGGAGGTGAACGTATTCAGATATTTGGGAGTGGACGTGTCAGCGGATGGGTCTATGAAAGATGAGGTGAATCATAGAATTGATGAGGGAAAAAGAGTGAGTGGTGCACTTAGGAGTCTGTGGAGACAGAGAACTTTGTCCTGGAGGCAAAGAGGGGAATGTATGAGAGTATAGTTTTACCAACGCTCTTATAATGGGTGTGAAGCATGGGTGATGATGTTGCAGCGAGGAGAAGGCTGGAGGCAGTGAGATGTCATGTCTAGGGCAATGTGTGGTGTGAATATAATGCAGAGAATTCGTAGTTTGGAAGTTAGGAGGAGGTGCGGGATTACCAAAACTGTTGTCCAGAGGGCTGAGGAAGGGTTGTTGAGGTGGTTCGGACATGTAGAGAGAATGGAGCGAAACAGAATAACTTCAAGAGTGTATCAGTCTGTAGTGGAAGGAAGGCGGGGTAGGGGTCGGCCTAGGAAGGGTTGGAGGAGGGTAAAGGAGGTTTTGTGTGCGAGGGGCTTGGACTTTCCAGCAGGCATGCGTGAGCGTGTTTGATAGGAGTGAATGGAGACAAATGGTTTTTAATACTTGACGTACTGTTGGAGTGTGAGCAAAGTAACAATTTATGAAGGGATTCAGGGAAACCGGCAGGCCGGACTTGAGTCCTGGAGATGGGAAGTACAGTGCCTGCACTCTGAAGGAGGGGTGTTAATGTTGCAGTTTAAAAACTGTAGTGTAAAGCACCCTTCTGGCAAGACAGTGATGGAGTGAATGATGTGAAAGTTTTTCTTTTTCGGGCCACCCTGCCTTGGTGGGAATTGGCCAGTGTGATAATAAAAAAAAAAAAAAAAAAAAAATATACCTCAGTGCACCACTCACCTTTTTTCCTTCATCAATTCTAGGATTAACCTCATCCTTCATAAACCCATCCGCTGACACGTCAACTCCCAAATATCTGAAAACATTCATTTCTTCCATACTCCTCCTCCCCAATTTGATATCCAATTTTTCTTTATCTAAATCATTTGATACTGTCATCACCTTACTCTTTTCTATGTTCACTTTCAACTTTCTACCTTTACACACACTCCCAAATTTGTCCACTAACCTTTGCAATCTTTCTTTAGAATCTCCCATAAGCACAGTATCATCAGCAAAAAGTAACTGTGTCACTTCCCATTTTGTATTTAATTCCCCATAATTTAATCCCACCCCTCTCCCGAACACCCTAGCATTTACTTCTTTTACAACCCCATCTATAAATATTTTAAACAACCATGGTGACATTACACATCCCTGTCTGAGACCTACTTTTACCGGGAAGTATTCTCCCTCTCTTCTACACACCCTAACCTGAGCCTCACTATCCTCATAAAAACTTACCACCTATTCCATATACTTGCAACATCTGCCACATTGCTTCCCTATCCACTCTATCATATGCCTTTTCTAAATCCATAAATGCAATAAAAACTTCCCTACCTTTATCTAAATACTGCTCACATATATGCTTCAATGTAAACACTTGATCTGCACATCCCCTACCCACTCTAAAACCTCTTTGCTCATCCGCAATTCTACATTCTGTCTTACCTCTAATTCTTTCAATAATAACCCTACCGTACACTTTTCCTGGTATACTCAGTAAACTTATTCCTCTATAATTTTTACTTTCTCTTTTCTCCCCCTTCCCTTTATATAAAGGGACTATACACGCTCTCCTCCAATCCCTAAGTACCTTCCCCTCTTTCATACATTTTTTTTTTTTTTAACAAGTTGGCCGTCTCCCACCGAGGCAGGGTGACCCAAAGAGAAAGAAAATCCCCAATAAGAAAATACTTTCATCATCATTCAACTCTTTCACCTCACTTACACATAATCACTGTTTTTGCAGAGGTGCTCAGAACACAACAGCTTAGAAGCATATACGTATAAAGATACACAACGCATCCCTCCAAACGGTCAATATCCCGAACCCCTCCTTTAGAGTGCAGGCATTGTACTTCCCATTTCCAGGACTCAAGTCTGGCTATATAAAAATAACTGGTTTCCCTGAATCCCTTCACTAAATATTCCCTGCTCACACTCCAACAGATCATCAGAGTATGAGCAGGGTAATATTTAGTAAAGGGATTCAGGGAAACCGGTTATTTTTATATAGCCGGACTTGAGTCCTGGAAATGGGAAGTAGAATGCCTGCACACTATCTAAGACATACATTTATTAAACAAAAATACCAACCACTCCAACACTATGTCTTCCCCTGCTTTTAACATTTCTGTCATGATCCCATCACTTCCAGCTTCTTTACTCCCTTTCATTCTACGTAATGCCTCACGCACCTCCCCTACACTCACATCCTGCTCTTCACTCCTAAAAGATGGTATACCTCCCTGGCCAGTGCATGAAATTACCGCCTCCCTTTCTTTGTAGACATTTAAAAGTTCTTCAAAATATTCTTGCCATTTACCCAAAACCTCCATCTCCCCATCTACTAACTCCCCTACTCTGTTTTTATCTGACATATCCATTTGTTCCCTAGGCTTTCTTAACTTGTTATATTATTTATTATTTCATATTAAATGAACTGTGATAGATAAATAAGATGTAGAGTTGATAGCGAAATATTCAAGGAGTATTTTGTCCTGTCTCCAGACAAACTCTCGTCAGCTGCTGCCGCCGCCACATATGTAATGACATATTTTATTCATTCTGGAGTATATGTCAGATTTCTGTTATTTATATTGTTTGTTATTTCATATTAGATGAACTGTCATAGATAAATAAGCTGTAGAGTTGATGGTAGCAAAATATTCAAGGAGTATTTTGTCCTGCCTCCAGACAAACTCTCGTCGGCCGCCACCACTGCTGCCACGTGTATAATGACACTTTTATTCATTCTGGAGCATATATCAGGTTTCTATGTTATTTATATTGTTATGTCATATTAGATGAACTATGATAGATAAATAAGCCGTATAGATGATATTAGCGAAATTATTCATGAAGTATAGTGGACCCCCGGTTAACGATATTTTTTCACTCCAGAAGTATGTTCAGGTGCCAGTACTGACCGAATTTGTTCCCATAAGGAATATTGTGAAGTAGATTAGTCCATTTCACACCCCCAAACATACACGTACAAACGCACTTAAATAAATAAACTTACATAATTGGTCGCATTCGGAGGTGATCGTTATGCGGGGGTCCACTGTATTTTGTCCGGTCTCCGGACAAACTCTTGTCCACCGCCAACACCGCCCATACCACTACATGAATTACATATTTTATTCATTTTAGAGTATATATCAGGTGTCTAGTTATATTTATTATTATTATTATCACACTGGCCGATTCCCACCAAGGCAGGGTGGCCCGAAAAAGAAACTTTCACCATCATTCACTCCATCACTGTCTTGCCAGAAGGGTGCTTTACACTACAGTTTTTAAACTGCAACATTAACACCCCTCCTTCAGAGTGCAGGCACTGTACTTCCCATCTCCAGGACTCAAGTCCGGCCTGCCGGTTTCCCTGAATCCCTTCATAAATGTTACTTTGCTCACACTCCAACAGCACGTCAAGTATTAAAAACCATTTGTCTCCATTCACTCCTATCAAACACGCTCACGCATGCCTGCTGGAAGTCCAAGCCCCTCGCACACAAAACCTCCTTTACCCCTCCCTCCAACCTTTCCTAGGCCGACCCCTACCCCGCCTTCCTTCCACTACAGACTGATACACTCTTGAAGTCATTCTGTTTCGCTCCATTCTCTCTACATGTCCGAACCACCTCAACAACCCTTCCTCAGCCCTCTGGACAACAGTTTTGGTTAATCCCGCACCTCCTCCTAACTTCCAAACTACAGAATTCTCTGCATTATATTCACACCACACATTGACCTCAGACATGACATCTCCACTGCCTCCAGCCTTCTCCTCGCTGCAAACATTCATCATCCATGCTCACACCCATATAAGAGCGTTGGTAAAAAACTATACTCTCATACATTCCCCTCTTTGCCTCCAAGGACAAAGTTCTTTGTCTCCACAGACTCCTAAGTGCACCACTCACTCTTTTTCCCTCATCAATTCTATGATTCACCTCATCTTTCATAGACCCATCTGCTGACACGTCCACTCCCAAATATCTGAATACATTCACCTCCTCCATACTCTCTCTCTCCAATCTGATATCCAATCTTTCATCACCTAATATTTTTGTTATTCTCATAACCTTACTCTTTCCTGTATTCACTTTTAATTTTCTTCTTTTTGCAAAAAATATAAAATATATAAAACTACGCAATAACTTCAAAACTTGAAATTTTGGAAAGTTTCCAGACATAATCAGTAGACATGAAGTTCACGAAGTATGTAAACAAACAGTGGTGCGCTGTAAAAAGAGGCCCTCCTCTACCCATGTTAAAGTTGAATTAATAAATTATGCACTGTAAGTGGAGAATTAGCACTTCTTTACTGTTGGGAAGCACTTGAAGGGTTCTTTTAGGCTTTGAAGAAGTGTCACCACCACTACTTTTCTGCTTTGTTATTATTAGGCAAAATTAAGGGTTATTTTTGGGCCACAGTACACTACAGATAACTGAAATCGCAGAAACCAAACCCATGGATACTGGGGTTTTACTGTATATCACTGTGCTGGACTTTTCTTGTCATGATAATATATTATTGTCATACCTTTAAAATCTTAATTCAACATTTGAAAATAAATTTTTATCATATGTAATGTTTAATATTAGATAAAGAGAAAGGGTAATGTTTCTTTTTCTGTATCTGCTGAATTTTTCAGAATTTTGGCTGGTCTTGGGTTTACACGTGAGATGCAGGGAAGAGCCACAAAAAACTTCAGTGGTGGCTGGAGAATGAGAGTATCCCTGGCCCGGGCTCTCTTCATGGAACCAACACTTCTCATGTTGGACGAGCCTACTAACCACTTGGATCTTAATGCTGTTATTTGGTTAGATAATTATCTTCAGGTATGACTCTTGTTTCTTCATTGTTAAGCACCAGCCGTATCTTTAATACCTTGTCCACTCTGACGACTTCTTATAAGTGGGGTGGCAACATGTAGAATACAATACAGCCTCTCCTCACTTAGCGACGTACTCTTTTACCGACGTCTTGGACTTATGATGGGCTCTCTGACCAGTATGCATACCTAAATACTGTAATGTATATTAGAGCTGATTTCCTCTATTCTGTTTATTACAGTATGCAGTACACTACTGTATAAATATTTAGAAATGTACCAGAGATGTTATAAACAGTGCAAAAGGTGACATTAAAACAATATCAAAGATGGTTGACACAAACCCACTAGCATTATAGTATGCTCCTCACTTAGTGACGAATTCGTTTACCAATGAGGTCTTAGAAATGGAACTCCGTTCGTTAAGTGAGGAGAGGCTGTACTGTATTTCCCAGACATTTTGGATAACTTAGTGTCTAGTTGAGAACAACCTGCTGGTTTTGTAACTTGTGCAAGTGACAGCTGTCAATTTTTGCACTAGCTAAAACAAGAATATATGGACAAGAAAGGACTAATCTGTAGGTAGTAAGATGAATTACAACCATCCAGGGAGGTTTTTTTTTTTTAACAGACCTGTAATAAAAATGTGAGACAAATGTCTTTTTTCTACCAACTCATGTATAACGTTCACTGAAGAAAAATTTTCGTCATGTATAAAATTCACCGAGATTGTTTTTTGTATTATCTTTGTGCAAATAAGCTATTGTTCTAAGTATGCCATCCAAAACTAACACTCTAGAAGGTAACTAAAATATCTTAAGTGTTCTGGAGGAAAATCCATTATAAAAAATTATAATATATTTTATAAAACAGTATTTATATACATGTATCTGTATTCTGACAGAGCATTCAGATGTTAATTTAACTTAAAAGTTACTGAGGATCATAATGTTTGCTTCACACTCAAATTAACCCCTTCAGGGTCCAAGGCCCAAATCTGAAGTGGTGCCCCAGTGTCCAAGAATTTTCAAAAAAAAAATTTGTTATTTTTTCTTATGAAATAGTAGAGAATCTTTTTGTGAAGCTAATAAAACAAAAAGTACGAAATTTGATGGAAAATTGACGAAATTATGCTCTTGCGAATTTTGATGTGTCAGCGATATTTACGAATCGGAGATTTTGCCGACTTTGACTCCCATTTTAGGCCAATTACATTATTCCAGTCAACCAAATTCTTAGCTATTTCACTAGTATTACTTCTATTCTATCAATTGAGCACAAGAAATCACCAAGTCAACTGTTTCAACTACAAATTAGTGATCGGAAATTGTTAATTTGGCCAATTTAACACAAAGTTCAAAATATTCCAATTTCAAAATAGGGTCCAGAATAAACAATGTAGGTATTCCTGGAACTAAAACAAAACATTTCTTCTGTTATTAGTTACATTTTGAGGCTTTACAAATAAATTCCATTTTGATTTTTTATTCACATAATGAATTTTTATTCACACCAAAAAATAGAAGATTTACTGTTATGCAATACTGTAATAATTGTATAAATATCATACCATATTTGTGAATGCATATTAAAACCCACCAGCTGGCGTGTATTAGACGTGTGGGTCGTTGTTTACTCTTGAATATCGGCAAAATTTAACATTTCTGCTACTTTGAGCTCAGTTTCAAGCCATTTACAGTGCTAAAACCAATCAAAATCATCTCTATTTCTGTAATATGTCTCACATTCTATCAAATGAGACCAAGAAATCGCAAATAGAACTATAAAAAACATACGAAAAAACACTGCAAAGTCGCTGTTTTAATCGAAAAATCATGATTTCAGTTTTTTTTCTCTCATTATACACAGTGTGCTGCAGGATCTGTTTTATGTTGTGCACACATACCACATAGATGTAGTCTCTCATATCTAGGCCCAAACTCACAGTTTATCAGAGTGAGCTGAGCTCATGACATAGATCTACGGTTTGGACCCTGAACGTAAAGCCGTAGATCTACGGGACGGACCCTGAAAGGGTTAAAACAATTTACAATATGATGTATTAGTTTAGTACTATTTAAAGCAATGAAATTTGGTATTACAATGGAACAGTTTACATTATGATATATTACAATCTACTACTATTTAAAACAATGAAAAAATAGACATCCTAATTTCGTAGTAAGTGGTTGAGCATTCATCAGCAGAATATGAGCAGCTTTTGAGAAACTGGTAGTGATTAGGTACAGTTTGTCTGGTTAATTTTAGGTGATGAGGTGATTTCTTATTAGGGCCTTAAACTGGTTTGCAGACAGGGGTCCTTTAGTGTGTTCTGGCAATGAATTCCAGATCTTCATGCCTTTTACGTGTATAGCATTTTTTGCATAGGGAGAGATGAACACAAGGGATATCGAAGACTGATCTGTGTCTCGTATTATGGTTGTGTGTTCTGTTATAGTTATCAAGGAGGAGTTTGAGAGGAGGGTTTACATTAGAGTATAGTATTCTGTGTATGTAGCAGGCACCATAATAAGTGTGGATGTTTTGTATATTTAGCAAGTTAAGACTTGAAAAGAGGTGGAGTGTGTTGTCTGATGCAGGAGTTAGTAATCAATCGCACTGCAGCTTTTTTTCTGGGTTATTAAAGGCTTAAGGTGATTAGCTGTGGTTGAGCCTCATGCATAAATACCATATGTGAGGTAAGGGTAAATGAGAGTGGTACAAAGCTAGAAGAGCTGTTTTGTAATTGTGTACTTTGAAAGGATGCCTACTGTTTTGGAGACTTTCTTGGAAATTTGCTATGTGTCTGTCTGAAATTTGAGACTGCAGTCAAGGTGGAAACCTAGAAATTTGCTCTCTGCTTGTCTCGAAATAGGTGAACCATTTATCAATAAGTTTGGCTGTGCATTTGAAGCTCTTGTTTCCAAAAAGCATGAAGTAGGTTTTGTTTATATTGAGAGTAATTATCCAAGTAGATATTTTTAGCAGTTCAGCATTTACTGTGTCTGTTAGTATGGTTGGGTTTGGGTGAGAAAAGAAATAAGTTGTGTCATCTGCAAATAAAATAAGTTTATGGAGATTAGATGCGTTTGGTAAATCATTGATGTAAATGAGAAAGAGAAGTGGGCCAAGAATGCTCCCCTGTGGGACTCCAACAAGAACAGGTTGTGTTGTGGAGCTGGCTCCATTTGTGTATACATACTGGGTTCTGTTGTTAAGATAAGATTTTAGGTAATTGAGAGAGTGTCCTCTGACCCCGTAATGTTCGAGTTTTTGGTGCAAAAGGTCATGGTCAACTGGATCAAAAGATTTTCGTAAGTCTATGAAAAGTCCCAGGGGACATTCGTTTTTCTCGAGTGCAGAATATATTAGTTCAAGCATATGTATAATTGCATCATTAGTATTTTTTTTCGATCTGAACCCAAACTGACAAGGGTTGAGTATGTTGTGGGATATGAAGTAGGGGTAGACTTGTTTGTGAATTAATTTTTCGAAGATTTTAGAGAGTAGGGGCAGGTATGATATAGGCCTATAATTGTTCAGTTCAGAAGGGAAGTAACCATGGATAGGGACTTGATACCTGAAGTCCTTATGTAAGGGGATTCCCCTTCCAAACAATAAACTCTCCTCCCTCTCCCCTCCTCGCCGTCTTCCATACACCAAGAGTCTTCACTAAAGGTAAAAGTGATTTAAATGTTCATTTATCCATTTCATTAGTGCTTTATATTTATTTCTCATTGTGTTCTGTATGTAAAACTAGTTATTCTCTATAAAATGTATTTTTTGTTAATATTTTTGGGTGTCTGGAACGGATTAATTGCATTTACATTTCTTATGGGAAATATTGCTTCAGTTTTTGTTGAATTCGGTTTTTGTCATACTCTGGAACAATTTAAAGACGAAAACCAAGGTTCTACTATATGAAATAACTTTAAAACACTTGAAATTTTGGAAAGTTTCCAGAGATAATGGAGAGACGCAGAGCTTGCGGAGAACATGAACAAGCTGGGAGGGGTGCAGTGATGATACAGGGGTACCTCGGTATGCATCCTTAATCTGTTCCAGGACCTTGGACTTGTACCAAACAGGAGGTATACCAAACGAATTTTCCCATAAGAAATAGTATAGGGAAAACGATTAATCTGTTTCCATGAAAAATAAAAGTACTACATATTGTTATTGGCATATACATTGATTGGGTTGTATAAAATAATTTAAACACTGCTTAATACTAAAATATGTACATAATTTAAACACTGCTTAATGCTAAAATACATACATAAATACAAAAGAAGAAATAAATGCAAATTTAACCTCACTTTACTTTGCTGAAAAGAGTCGAGTTCCTACTAGGATAGTGCTGAGAAGGGAGGAGGAGGAAATGTTATAAGAACATAAGAACATAAGAACGAAGGAACACTGCAGAAGGCCTACTGGCCCATGCGAGGCAGGTCCAAGTCTCCTACCGGCTTAAGCCAATGCACCCAACCTAGTCAGGTCAGGTCACCTTGACTTAAGGGAGGAACACGGCAACCGACCTGGTAGCACAAGCTATCAGGTCTAACTCACACCCACCCACATCCACTCATGTATTTATCCAACCTATTTTTAAAGCTACACAACGTTCTGGCCTCTATAACGGTACTTGGGAGTTTGTTCCACTCATCACAACTCTAAATTTCCAAACCAGTACTTTCCTATATCCTTCCTGAATCTGAATTTTTCCAACTTAAAACCATTGCTGCGAGTCCTGTCTAGGCTAGATATTTTCAGCACACTATTTACATCCCCTTTATTTATTCCTGTCTTCCATTTATACACCTCAATCATATCCCCCCTAATTCTACGTCTTTCTAGAGAGTGCAGATTCAGGGCCCTTAGTCTATCCTCATAGGGAAGGTTTCTGATACATGGGATCAACTTTGTCATCCTCCTTTGTACATTTTCCAGAGAATTTATATCCATTCTGTAATAAGGTGACCAAAACTGTGCAGCATAATCTAAATGAGGCCTAACCAAGGATGTATAGAGTTGAAGAACAACCTGAGGACTCCTATTATTTATGCTTCTTGATATGAAGCCAGGATTCTATTAGCTTTATTGCGAACACTTATGCACTGTTGTCTTGGTTTCAGATTACTGCTAACCAGAACTCCTAAATCTTTTTCGCAATCCGTAATATTAAGATCTACATTATTTAGTTTATATGTGGCATGATTATTGTCCTGTCCAACATTTAGAACTTTGCATTTGTCTATATTAAACTGCATCTGCCACTTCTCCGACCACTGCATCAGTCTATTCAAATCTTCCTGGAGTGCTCGAATGTCCTCGTCAGAATGAATTCGACGGCCTATTTTGGTGTCATCGGCAAACTTGCCGATGTCGCTCTTTATGCCCTCATCTATGTCGTTTATGTAGATTGTGTGAACAGCAGGGGGCCCAGCACTGACCCCTGTGGAACACCGCTCGTGACACTTCCCCACTCTGATTTCTCCCCATTTATGCAAACTCTCTGCTGCCTATTTGTCAACCATGCTCTTATCCAGGAAAAAATTTCTCCTCCTATTCCATGTGCTTTAATTTTCCTCAATAGTCTCTGATGTGGGACCCTGTCAAAAGCCTTACTGAAGTCCATATACACAATATCATATTCATTACCATGATCTACCTCCTCAAATACCTTAGTGAAAAAAGTTAATAAATTCGTAAGGCAGGAACGCCCCTTTGTAAAACCATGCTGAGATTCGTTGATTAATTTATGCTTTTCAAGGTGGCTACGAACTGCCTCGGCAATTATTGTTTGGAAGGAGAGTTCCCTTCTTCTTCTTCTCTCTTTTTCCTATTTGGACCTGGTTGAAGCTCGCCAAGTTTGACTTGTACATTAAATAAATGTCTTATTTTATGTTATTATAGACATTTTCATTAATCCATCAATATTTTCTTCAAAATTATATAAGAAACACGTTACACAGCATATAAACATGCTAAGTTTATATGTCGGGCAGAGGGAAAAACATTACGTTTTCTCGGGTACAGCACCAAAGAAAACGTGTATGAATCTGTGTTTGGCCTAGTCATTCCACTTTTGTTTACAATTCTCGGTGTGAATTATTCATTACTTCTCCCTTTGTTTATGATGGCATCTAAAGGTAGTTGTTAGAAATGATTAAACTAAGTGAGCATGGTATTTCAATGGTAATAATATGGCTCTGGGCTGCATTAAATGTCATAAAGCTATGTAGCCCAGACTACCTACCGGCTACCTACATCTACCGGCTACCAACACCTGACTTCCTACAAATAAATACTACTCCCCTCTCATCCTACATTAAGGCTACGCATATTTTTAAGGTAAATGAGTGTACTGTATGTGTATTTTATCTCTGGGCTGCTTTAAATATCATATTAATTAAGTTTGAGACGGGGAGTCAGGCTGCCTACACCTGACTTCCTAGAAATTAGTACAAAGGTAGCATGCGGTGTCGTGGCTCATTTTGACCCACACAAATTCTAGCATGCAAATCATATTCCAAACAAAGGTCATACACGAAGCAAAAGTTTTCGCGCCCAAACAGGACATATACTATGTTTGACTTATTCCAAAGCAGACGTATGACGAGGTACCACTGTATTAGAAAGTCAGGTGGGGGAGCCGTATAGCGAGTTTTGGTCATAATTTGAAATGTCTATATTAGCAGAACGCCGTAAAGCGGCGCCCTACTGTATTAGATTTGGATTGTTTATTAGGATACTGCAAAATATTCTGCAGTTTAATTTGTTGGTTATATGTTAGAGGTTACCAAATATATAACTCAGAAGTCAGTGATAAATATCTCACCTTCTGATTTCATTTAAAAATAAATTTTTGTGATGAGGCTTTTCACAAAATAACATAATTAAGCTTAAGTAAAGAAATGATTACCTGTGATATACTTTTGATGAGTTTTGAGTCTTTCTACTCCCGGAGCCGTATCATGGGCCAGGCTCATCTGGTGCTAGCCTGGCCAGCCAGGCTGTCGTGTAATCACTTGTTACATAAACTTTTGAAATTGCTGAGTGGATGTGTTATTTTACAGGGTTGGAAGAAGACGCTGTTAGTTGTGTCCCATGACCAGTCATTCCTCGATAATGTCTGTACAGATATCATCCACTTAGATCAACACAAGCTGTATTATTACAAAGGAAATTATTCTATGTTTAAAAAGGTAAGTGATAATTGTTATTTTTATGAAGAATAAAGTGCCACAACCAGAGTGTGGGTTGTCCCTCTTGTATATACTCATAACCAAATGAAGGAAATTCGAGTTTACCTCACTCTGGCTTGGTAATATGCATTAATAGCAAAGTATAATTCACTACTGGTGTCACTTCACTTAAAACGTGTTTTGGTGGAATGATATGGCATATGCTCTCATTACTATACAGTGGAACCTCTGGTCACGACCATAATTTGTTCCAAAACTCGATTGGGTTGTGACCCAAACCTAATTTTCCCATTGGATTGTATGTAAATATGATTAATCCATTCCAGACCCCTACGAACTGTATGTAAATATTTTTTTCTTTTAAGCACATAAATAGTTAATTATAAAGGAGGCCTTCCACATTTGCAAATGTTAGGGGACCAAGAACCTCGTAAATCTTGAAAATTTGCAAATGTTTGGTCCGCAAATATGATGCAGGGAAATACATTGGACCCCCGCCTTACGATATTAATCCATTTCTAAGAGCTCATCGTAAGCTGAAATTATCGTTAGCCGAATTAATTTTTCCCATAAGAAATAATGGAAATCAAATTAATCCGTTCCTGACACCCCAAAGTATGAAAAAAAAATTTTTTTACCACATGAAATATTAATTTAATACACACAAACTGAAGAAGACATGCACAATTACTACTATGCTAAGAATAGAATACATGACACTTACCTTTGAAGATCTGATGATGATTGATGGGATGTTAGGAGGGGAGAGTGTGGAAGTTATTGTTTAGAAGGAGATTCCCCTTCCATTAGGCCTTGAGGTAGCAAGTCCTTTTCCGGGGTTACTTCCCTTTTTCTTTTAATGCCACTAGGACCAGCTCGAGAGTCACTGGACCTTTGTCGCACAACAAATCTGTCCATAGAGCTCTGTACCTCCCGTTCCTTTAAGACGTTCCTAAAATGGGCCATAACATTGTCATTGTACAGGTTGCCAACACAGCTTGCAGTAGCTGTGTCAGGGTGATTTTCATCCGTAAAGATTTGCAGTTCAACCCACTTTGCACACATTTCCTTAATCTCTTTTTTCAATTCCATACTAATTCTTGCCCTTTTTACTACAGGGATGGCACTAGAAGCTTTCTTGGGGTCCATGGTGACTTATTTTGCAGTTACAAGCACTAAAAACACTGGAATGTACCAAATGTATGCGTAGATGCGACCCCACTGGCTGGCTTGTAAACACTGGCGCTGAGGCCACACGTGGGACGCGTCCCAGACGAATCACGTAAAGCGAGTTTTTTATCGTGAGGCGAGGCAAAAATTTTGCGTTCAAATGCTTTGTATGGCGGATTTAACGTGACGGGATGTGTTCGTAAGGTGGGGGTCCACTGTATAATAATACTGTACTGTAGCATTTGCGAATGTTTTGATGCGCAAATATGTTGTTGGGAAATATAATAATGGCATTTACTTAGCCTAACAATACTGCTTCCTTAACCTATTGAACCATGAACAATCATAAAACACATGAAAACATCATAAAATAGTGTATATACATTTTTTTTTTTTTTTTCAACAAGTCGGTCGTCTCCCACCGAGGCAGGGTGACCCAAAAAAAAGAAAGAAAATCCCCAAAAAGAAAATACTTTCATCATTCAACACTTTCACCACACACACACATTATCACTGCTTTTGCAGAGGTGCTCAGGATACAACAGTTTAGAAGCATATACGTATAGAGATACACAACATATCCCTCCAAACTGCCAATATCCCAAACCCCTCCTTTAAAGTGCAGGCATTGTACTTCCCATTTCCAGGACTCAAGTCCGACTATATGAAAATAACCGGTTTCCCTGAATCCCTTCACTAAATATTACCCTGCTCACACTCCAACAGATCGTCAGGTCCCAAGTATCATTCGTCTCCATTCACTCCTATCTAACACGCTCATGCACGCTTGCTGGAAGTCCAAGCCCCTCACCCACAAAACCTCCTTTACCCCCTCTTTCCAACCCTTTCGAGGACGACCCCTACCCCTCTTTCCTTCCCCTATAGATTTATATGCTTTCCATGTCATTCTACTTTGATCCATTCCCTCTAAATGACCAAACCACCTCAACAACCCCTCTTCTGCCCTCTGACTAATGCTTTTATTAACTCCACACCTTCTCCTAATTTCCACACTCCGAATTTTCTGCATAATATTTACACCACACATTGCCCTTAGACAGGACATCTCCACTGCCTCCAACCGTCTCCTCGCTGCTGCATTTACCACCCAAGCTTCACATCCATATAAGAGTGTTGGTACTACTATACTTTCATACATTCCCTTCTTTGCCTCCATAGATAACGTTTTTTGACTCCACATACACCTCAATGCACCACTCACCTTTTTTCCCTCATCAATTCTATGATTAACCTCATCCTTCATAAATCCATCCGCCTACACGTCAACTCCCAAGTATCTGAAAACATTCACTTCTTCCATACTCCTCCTCCCCAATTTGATATCCAATTTTTCTTTATCTAAATCATTTGATACCCTCATCACCTAACTCTTTTCTATGTTCACTTTCAACTTTCTACCTTTACACACATTCTCAAACTCATCCACTAACCTTTGCAATTTTTCTTTAGAATCTCCCATAAGCACAGTATCATCAGAAAAAAAGTAACTGTCAATTCCCATTTTGGAATTTGATTCCCCATAATTTTAACCCCACCCCTCTCCCGAACACCCTAGCATTTACTTCTTTTACAACCCCATCTATAAATATATTAAACAACCATGGTGACATTACACATCCCTGTCTAAGACCTATTTTTTCCCGGGAAGTATTCTCCCTCTTTTCTACACACCCTAACCTGAGCCTCACTGTCCTCATAAAAGCTCTTTACAGCATTTATTTAACTTACCACCTATTCCTATACTTGCAACATCTGCCACATTGCTCCTCTATCCACTCTATCATATGCCTTTTCTAAATCCATAATGCAATAAAAAACTTCCCTACCTTTATCTAAATACTGTTCACATATATGCTTCAATGTAAACACTTGATCTACACATCCCCTACCCCCCTCTGAAGCCTCTTGCTCTCCACAATTCTACATTCTGTCTTACCTCTAATTCTTTCAATTATAACCCTACCGTATAATTTTCTGGTTAACTCAGTAAACTTATTCCTCATAATTTTTTCAATCTCTTTTGTCCCCTTTCCCTTTATATAAAGGGACTATACATGCTCTCTGCCATCCCTAGGTACCTTCCCTCTTTTCATACATTTATTAAACAAAAGTACCAACCACTCCAACACTATATCCCCCCTGCTTTTAACATTTCTGTCATGATCCCATCAGTTCCAGCTGCTCTTACCCCCTTTCATTCTACGTAATGCCTCACGTACCTCCACCACACTTACATTCTGCTCTTCTTCACTCCTAAAAGATGGTATACCTCCTGGCCAGTGCATGAAATTCCGCTCCCTTTCTTCCTTAACATTTAAAAGTTCCTCAAAATATTCTCGCCATCTACCTAATACCTCCCTCTCCCCATCTACTAACTCCCTACTCTGTTTTTTAACTGACAAATCCATACTTTCCCTAGGCTTTCTTAACTTGTTTAACTCACTCCAAAATTTTTTCTTATTTTCATTAAAATTTCTTGACAGTGCCTCTCCCACTCTTTCATCTGCTCTCCTTTTGCACTCTCTCACCACTCTCTTCACCTTTCTTTTACTCTCCATATACTCTGCTCTTCTTATAACACTTCTGCTTTGTAAAAACCTCTCGTAAGCTACCTTTTTCTCTTTTATCACACCCTTTACTTCATCATTCCACCAATCACTCCTCTTTCCTCCTGCCCCCACCCTCCTATAACCACAAACTTCTGCCCCACATTCTAATACTGCATTTTTAAAACTATTCCAACCCTCTTCAACCCCCCCACTACTCATCTTTGCACTAGCCCACCTTTCTGCCAATAGTCGCTTATATCTCGCCCGAACTTCCTCCTCCCTTAGTTTTATACACTTTCACTCCCTCTTACTTGTTGTTGCCACCTTCCTCTTTTCCCATCTACCTCTTACTCTAACTGTAGCTACAACTAAATAATGATCCGATATATCAGTTGCCCCTCTATAAACATGTACATCCTGAAGCCTACCCATCAACCTTTTATCCACCAATACATAATCTAACAAAATACTTTCATTACGTGCTACATCATACCTTGTATATTTATTTATCCTCTTTTTCATAAAATATGTATTACTTATTACCAAATTTCTTTCTACACATAGCTCAATTAAAGGCTCCCCATTTACATTTACCCTGGCACCCAAATTTACCTACTACTCCCTCCATAACATTTTTACCCACTTTAGCATTGAAATCCCCAACCACCATTACTCTCACACTTGATTCAAAACTCCCCATGCATTCACTCAACATTTCCCAGAATCTCTCTCCTCCTCTACACTTCTCTCTTCTCCAGGTGCATACACGCTTACTATAACCCACTTTTCACATCCAATCTTTATTTTACTCCACATAATCCTTGAATTTATACATTTGTAGTCCCTCTTTTCCTGCCATAGCTTATCCTTCAACATTATTGCTACTCCTTCTTTAGCTCTAACTCTATTTGAAACCCCTGACCTAATCCCATTTATTCCTCTCCATTGAAACTCTCCCACCCCCTTCAGCTTTGTTTCACTTAAAGCCAGGACATCCAGTTTCTTCTCATTCATAACATCCACAATCATCTCTTTCTTATCATTTGCACAACATCCACACACATTCAGACTTCCCACTTTGACAATTTTCTTCTTCTTATTCTTTTTAGTAATCTTTACAGGAAAAGGGGTTACTAGCCCATTGTTCCCGGCATTTTAGTTGACTTTTACATACACGCATGGCTTACGGAGGAAAGTATTTTATTCCACTTCCCCATGGATATAAAGGAAAAGTAATAAGACCAAGAACTATTAAGATAAAATCAAAGAAAACTCAGATGAGTGTGTATAAATAAACGTGTACATGTATGTGTAGTGTGACCTAAGTGTAAGTAGAAGTAGCAAGACGTACCTGTAATCTTGCATATTTATGAGACAGACAAAAGACACCAGCAATCCTACCATCATGTAAAACAATTACAGGCTTTCGTTTTACACTCACTTGGCAGGACGGTAGTACCTCCCTGGGTGGTTGCTGTCTACCAACCTACTACCAATAATATATATATATACATACATATATATACATGTTATGGTTTATTAACAAATAATGAACAAACGAAACACCACTCAGAAGGTTAGGCAGACGAACTATGACAACTTGTGACGATGATGATGATGGTGATGATAGCCATGCAGTTACTGATGACAGTTGAATAGAGGTGATTGTATGGAGTGTAACTGCATGGCATGATGAGTCTAAGGTGTGGATTGTAACTCTTCACTGCCAGCTTCACTACCGACATTGCTAGAGTCAGAGTTAGCAATGGAACGTGGCGGGAAGCGTTTTCCTGTACTTTTTTCTGCACTTATTTGGTAAATACTATGATTGGGCAGCTGGGCATTCACGAATGTTTGAAGCTCGCGAAAGTGGAGGGCTAGCTGTACCATAGAATGCACAGTAAAATAGTAAACTAAATGTAATAACCATGAATAACACTGAGAAAACCTTGAACAACAGAGAAAACTAACATTGCATGAGTCTGTTCTGGCCGTGTTCACATTGTGCTGCTTGAACGCATAAGGATTTTCGAACTGGTAAACAACTAGCTGTTTAATTTTTAGGTCGCTACTTGTGTTCACGCACAGCAGAAGGGTTAATCTGTCCTTCATTGGCTTGTGACTGAGCATAGCCTTCTCCTGGGTTATGTAGGTCCTCCTCGGCATCTTCCAAAACAGCTCGGTCTCGTCGTAGTTAAACACTTGTTGCAGGACGTATCCTTTGGCCCTCACTAATTCAGCGAAGTATTACGCGAACGTTTCCACAACAGCAGCGTCTGAACTAGCAGCCTCTCCATGCCTTACCACACTATGAATGTGACTTCTCTCAAACTTTTAAAACCATCTACTGGCTTTAAATTCATCACTTTCTGCACTCGTAGAAGGATAATTCTGCCGCAAATCACTGTGTATTTTCCTGGCTTTCTCCCACATGATCACCTCGCTTATGCTATCACCTGCAAGTTACTACTCATTCAACCACACTAGCAACAGTTTCTCACCTCTTCCAGCACTTAAGGCCTCTCCTTGGTTGACATCACAACTCCCTTAGAAACATTAGCCGCTTTAATAGCCGCTTTCTCTGCTTCAGAATAGTCGAGATCATAGACTTTGGCTTCTTGAACTCCACAGCAAGATCGGTAACACACACACCACGCTCATACTTTTCAATAATTTCTTTCTTTATTTCTATTTCAGTTTTCTTCAAACCCTTCTTTTTACCCACATTACCACTCTTCACTTGCTTAGAGGCCATGGTTAATTGCAAATTGAATCCAAAAACATGCAAAATGCAACACAAGGAGTTCACAGCGAATGAACACACGTCTGACTGAGATTGACTACAAGACGAGGTGTACACAAACAACAGGAAGTGGGGAAAATCAGTGCGTGTGAAAAAAATTGCGCGGAATTTGAAAATTGGAGTGGCTGTGTTTGTTCGACACCCGATTATGTGTTTGTGACCAGATGCAAAAATTTGGCGTATTTTTTGGTCGTGAACCGATTCGTTTGTGTTTGGAAGCGTTCATGACCAGAGGTTCCACTGTATTAATTTCATTTGCCTTGCATTCATTTCCTTTCAAGCTTTCATAGTAGAAAATGAGAATGCAATTTTTTTTTATTGTTCCTTAATTTTGTCAGGGTACATTACCTATGACAGGGGTCATTTGTTTCTTTCTTTGTGCCAGTTTTTTTTTTTTCTTTAACATGCTGGCCGTCTCCCAGTAAGGCAGGTTGACCTGAAAAAGAAACACTTCCACCATCATTCACACCATCACTGTCTTGCCAGAGGCATGCAGATATGACAGTTTAGATGTCATTCTAAGCAGCAGATATATCTAACCCTACCTTTAAGTGCAGGCACTCTACTTTCCACCTTCATGACTCAAGTCCAGCTAACCGGTTTCCCTGAATTCATTCATAAAATATGCATTACCTTGATCCGGTTATTATGATGTTGCATTATTAATACAGTCATACCCCACTCTGTCATTAATTGGTTCCAAGAGCGTGACATAAACTAGACATAATGCCCTAAAAAATGGCATAAAATAATGACAGACACCATAAAACTAGCGTAAATAACTCGGAAAGACTATAATTATTGCTAAACCTTAAAGAATGCTAAAAACACATTTTAGTCATATTTTTTAAAGATTAAACAAATTATTATGTAGGTGACGTTGCTGAGTGACGTAAAATTGGCTGTAATGACATTCACTAAACTGAAATTTACTCTAGAAAAGTGGCATAAAGGTGAATTTGACATAGGCTGAAGTGACATAAAGCAGGGCATGACTGTACTGTATATATAATGTGTTGCAGATGTTGGTTCAAAAACGCAAAGAGCAAGCAAAGGCGTACGAGAAGCAGGAGAAGCGAATCAAGGAAATGAAGGCTTCCGGCGCCTCAAAGAAACAGGCAGTAAGTTCTCTTGCAGCATTTTATCTAGTATGTGTGTGTTCAGTATATGTATTGAAAACAACAACACACACACACATTGTAGAGGCCAGGCCAGGAGCTATGACTCGACCCCTGCAACCACAACTCGGTCAGTACACACACACACATTTAGATTTTGTTTAAATTTTATGCAAACCAGTAAACTACAGTTCTACAATATTTCCAAACAAGTGAAAATTTTCTGAAATTGTCACAAAAATGTGACTGCCAACAAATATACATTTTATGTGAATCGAAGGTAGTCAGAGATTTGCTTCTGAAAATATAAAAAATGGTTAATGAGCCAAAATACATCCCCAGAAAATCTGTTTATTAGCAGGAAAATAAAATAAAAGTATAATGTAATAAAATCTGTTTTGAACATGATAAATTGGTGTGCTTTGTAATAGCTAATATAGAGTTATAGGGTTATTCAACACTTTGTGTTACAGCATAAGCAATTTTTTTTTTTTTGTGTGAGTATAAAGTCCCCCAGTATTGTACTGCACTCAACAATTGTTACATTAACCCTTTGACTGTCGCAACCCCCAATCCTGAGGTGTCTCCTGGTGTTGCAAAATTTCAAAAAAAAAAAAATTATTTTTTCTTATGAAATGATAGAGAATCTTTTCCCGATTGTAATGACACCAAAAAAACGAAATTTGATGGAAAACTGACGGAATTATGCTCTTGCACAGTTAGCGACCTTGGCGCTGTTTACAAATCGGCGATTTCGCCCACTTTGAGCCCCATTTTCGGCTAATTCCATTGTTCCAGTCGCCCAAACTCATAGCTATTTCTTTAGAACTCCATTTTTTCTATCGATTGAGTACAAGAAACTGCCCATTTACCGATTTCAACTACTTAATAATGTGGTCAGAAATTTGCAATTTGGCCAATTTCACGAAAAATAAAAAATATGACAATTTCAAAATAAGGTCCAGAATGAACAATGTAGACATTCCTGGCTCTAAAATAACATTTTCTTTGCTCATCAGTCATGTCTCCAGGCCCCTCTTGATATTACTCTTGCTTTCTATTTTGAATTTTTATTCAAACAAAAAATAGAAGACTTACTATTATGCAGACTACTGCAATACTGTAATAATTGTATAAATAACATCAACCCATTCATGACTGCATATTAGAATGGCTAGTTGGACATTTATTGGACAATGGCATCATTTGTTTACTTTTGAACATTGGCAAAAATCAAACATTTCCCCTACTTTGAGATCCATTTCTAGGTTCATTTTATAGTAAAATCAATCAAAATCACCTCTATTTCTAAAATATGTTTTCCATTCTATCAAATGAGACCAAGAAAATGAGAATACAACCATAAATACTATACGAAAATAGACCACAAAGTCGGCATTTTAATTAAAAAAAATGGTCTGAGTTTTTTTTTCTCATTATGCACTGCGTGCTCCAGGATTTTTTTTATATGGTGCACACTGACCACACAGACCCATTCTCTCACATGTGAGCCTACCAGCTTTCTCCTGCTTGATTTGAAGCCGCTAGAATTTATGAGTATATATACGTCAAACACGGTACCTCGTAAGACGTATATATACGGCCGCGACAGCCAAAGGGTTAATGCACAACACAATATATAAGAAACAGTGAAACTACGGTAGCTTATTATATACCTTAGGTGAGAACTTTAAGCCAGGAGAGCTACCTGAAGGCTGCTTGAAGATGGTTCTGGGGCTCGCTGTTTCTGATGCAAGAAAGTTATTACAAAAATCATTCAGCAGTCCTCATGAAAAGGGTGACTTGCTGCTGACTCTTCCCCTTCCCTTCCACTCCCTAGGTGTGGTGTAACATACAAGTTTGGCATTTTCCCTTTGAATATGGTGGTAATATGTTCTTCATCCACATAGGGAAGGAGCTGATTTTATAATCTCAGAATTTTATCAAATTTAGGTACCCTCTGCAAACATTCTTATAAAGAATTATCATAGTACCTGTATATTATGCTTTCAGTAATGTCATTTAGTAGACATGTATTTTTTTTAACATTGGTGCTTTCCCACTGAGGTGGGGTGACCTGACAAGAAAACACTCATTCAATCACTGTCTTACCAGAAGGGCACTGACATCACAGTTCAGATGACCCTCCAAACCACAGCACCCCTACCCCTCCTTCAGAGTGTAGGCACTGTACTTTACACCTCCAGGATTCAAGTCCAGCTAACTGGACTTGATTCCAATTAGCGGGACTTTGATTAGAAAGAACGTGTATTTAGCTAAAGTTTTTGCTATCGCCATCAAGTATCTTGCACAAAGTTGCTTACCCGCTTCTATTTTAGATTGTAACCTTGTATTTTTTATTTATCTTAGGTTATGTTAGTTCTTATATGTGCATATCTATAAGTCAAGCGTGCATATAAATTTCTGGTGCTACATTTTTTACCTATACCATATCTAAAGACCATTGGTACACAGATCAGGCTTATTTTGCATAAGAATTACACATTCTATGAGATTTGATTTGTAGCATCTTCATATTATGTTAAGAAGTTACAATAAGTTTAAAGTTGCCTAAATTTTCTGTGGGTATGAGAAGAACAAGGTCTTTCAACTTTGCCATATTAATGTGTAAATCTTAAACTTATTTAATGTTTCAGTATAATCAAGGATTTATTTTTTTTGTTCTTAAATTTTTACTTTTTTTCTTGCATTTCAGTGAAGTATGAGTACTACCATACTGATAGTCATTTAAGAGGTAGTTCCTTATTGTTCTATTACTTTTCAGGAAAAGAAGACAAAGGAAGTGCTTACCCGCAAACAAGAAAAGAATCGCAGCAAAAACAAGAAAGAAGAGGATGAAAGTGGACCCGTTGAATTGCTCGAAAGACCTCAAGAATATGTTGTAAAGTTCAACTTTCCTGAACCACCACCACTGCAACCTCCGATTCTTGGGCTTTACAATGTTTGCTTCAATTATGAAGGTCACAAGCCACTGTTTAAAGCCGTTGATTTTGGCATAGATATGGAGACGAGGATAGCAATTGTTGGTCCAAATGGTGTAGGTAAATCAACATTCTTAAAATTGCTCCTAGGTGAACTGAGTCCAACTTCAGGTGAAGTGCGGAGAAATCATCGCTTAAAAATTGGTAGATATGATCAGCACTCTGGGGAACACTTAACTGCTGAAGAATCCCCCTCAGAATATCTCATGAGACTGTTTAATTTGCAGTATGAAAAGGCAAGAAAAGCTCTTGGTACATTTGGTCTTTCATCCCATGCACATACCATTAAGAATAAGGATCTATCAGGAGGTCAGAAAGCACGTGTAGCTTTGGCCGAGCTCTGTTTGTCGTCACCTGATATTCTTATTCTTGATGAACCCACCAATAACTTAGATATTGAAAGTATTGATGCTCTCGCTGAAGCCATCGCAGATTACAAGGGTGGTGTGATTATTGTTTCTCATGACGAACGCTTAATCCGTGAAACAGATTGTAATTTATGGGTGATAGAAGATCAGACTATTAATGAGATTGATGGAGGCTTTGATGAATATAGAAAAGAGTTGTTGGAGGAGCTTGGTGAAGAGATCAATAATCCAAGTATTTCTGCTCATAATGCTGCTGACTTGTAAGTTTTGACATAGAATGTTTGTATTTACATATGTAAGTGCCAGTTTGCCATTCTATATTTATGCAAAGGTTTTATATTTACATTTGCCTTTTGCTTTCTGGTTATGGCTATGAAAAACTAATATGGAACAAAGAAATTCATTTGTAATGAATTACTTTAATATAATACAGTATTGTGATATTGCTAAGGCATATAACATTTATTTTTTTAATTGTTGCAGAAATAATTTTTTTCTATTTTGTTTTAAAATTTGCAGTAAATCTTCATTTTAAAATCTCTACTGTTTGAAATCCTTAACATTTTTTGCTTATCATGCATGGTTATGTATTTGTTTCTGTTGATTCAAAAATCAGGATGTTGATAATTTTGTGTTCAGTAGATCTTAAATACTTACATCTCTGCTTGCTTGACACAGTTAAAAGGATCAATAACTTGTGCTACAGATTTCTAGCAAGCAACTAGTTAAATCAAGTTCCCAAGTTAATGGTGCTGAATTTCTAGCTGAATGAGTCCTGAATAATCAAAGGAAACAGTAGTGATTTAATTTAAATGATGCATCTCTATAAAGCACATAATTACACTTGAGTGTAACACTTTTCTCAGGTGTATTGTACTCTTTCTCCTTTGGTTTTTTTTTTATTTAAATTACCATTTTTTTTTTTTTGTAATATATGCATAATTTTTTAAATAAAATGTAACTATGCTGAACTTTCTAAAGGTATTACATTCATTTCTTCATTCTGGAAATTTGGTCGTTTCAAGGTTTGATTATAAAATTTACAGTAAGGCTTTTCTTTGTATGTTGTCTATAGTAAGTGGACAGTTGTCCATAGCAGCACTACTGTAGAAGTATATCTGAGTATCTGGTGAGTTTAGTCAGAGGAAAAACCCACCACTGGGAAAAAGTAATATATAATATCCAATGCTTATCGAAGTTTTATGTACATACATGGATTGGAAAGGACTACTTCAGAAACAGCAGTATCTCTAAACATACTGTGATGCACCTTTTGTTGTGTTGTGTGCCCTATTTTGTATAATCTGTTATATTGTCTCTCCCCCCCCTCCCTTTTTTTTTCTTTTCTCATTAGAGATGTAGAAGGAAAATTAAACATGAGAGAACTTGTAGATTCTGTATTTAACATAAATCCTTAACACAGTATAAAATTCTTTTAGAAGAAAATTAATGTATATGCGCGCGCATGTGTGTGCGTGTACATGTGTGTGTGTGCGCGCGTGTGTGCACGTGCGCCTGGAGAAGAGAGAAGTGTAGAGGAGAGAGAGATTTTGGGAAATGTTGAGTGAGTGCATGGGGAGTTTTGAATCAAGTGAGAGTACTTGTGGTTGGGGATCTCAATGCTAAAGTGGGTAAAAATGTTGTAGAGGGAGTAGTAGGTAAATCAGGGGTGCCAGGGGTAAATGAAAATGTGAAGCCTTTAATTGAATTGTGTGTAGAATAGGTTTGGTAATAAGTAATACATATTTTATGAAAAAGAGGATAAATAAGTATAGAAGATATGATATAGCACATAATGAAAGTAGTTTGTTAGATTGTTATAGTGGATAAAAGGTTGATGAGTAGGCTTCAGGACGTACATGTTTATAGAGGAGCAACAGATATATCGGATCATTATCTAGTAGCTGCAGTTAGAGTAAGAAGTAGATAGGACAAAAGAAAAATGGCAACAGTAAGTAAGAGAGAGGTGAAAGTTTATAAACTAAGGAAAGAGGAAGTTAGGGTGAGATACAAGCAACTTTTGGCAGAAAAGTGAGCTAGTGCAAATATGGGTAGTGGGGGGGGGGGGGGTTGAAGAGGGGTGGGCTAGTTTTAAAAATGAATGCAGTATTAGAATGTGGGGCAGAAGTTTGTGGTTATAAGAGGGTGGGTGAAGGAGAAAAGAGGAGTGATTGGTGGAATGATGAGGTAAAGGATGCAATAAAAGAGAAAAAGGTAGCTTATGAGAGGTTTTTGCAAAGCAGAAGTGATATGGAGTATAAAAGAAAAGTGAAGAGAGTGGTGAGAGAGAGCAAATGATAGAGTGGGAGTGGCACTGTCAAGAAATTTTGCTGAAAATAAGAAAAAAATTTTGGAGTGAGATAAACAAGTTAAGAAAGCCTAGGGAACAAATGGATTTGTCAGTTAAAAACAGAGTAGGGAAGTTAGTAGATGGGGAGATGGTGGTTTTGGGTAGATTGTGGGAATGTTTTAAGGAACTTTTAAATGTTGTTGAAGAAAGGGAGGCAGTAATTTCATGCATTGGTCAGGGAGGTATAACATCTTTTAGAAGTGAAGAAGAGCAGGATGTGAGTGTAGGGGAGGTGCACGAGGCATTACGTAGAATGAAAGCTGGAACTGTCGGGATCATGACAGAAATGTTAAAAGCAGGGGGGATATAGTGTTGGTTGGTATTTTTGTTTTGGGTAGATGGCGAGAATATTTTGAGGAGCTTTTATATGTCGACAAAGAAAGGGAAGCGATAATTTTATGCACTGGCCAGGGAGGTATACCATCTTTTAGGAGTGAAGAAGAACAGGATGCGAGTGTGGGGGAGGTGCGTGAAGCATTACGTAGAATGAAAGGGGGTAAAGCAGCTGGAACTGATGGGATGACAGAAATGTTAAAAGCAGGGGGGGATATAGTGTTGGAGTGGTTGGTATTTTTGTTTAATAAATGTATGAAAGAGGGGAAGGTACCTAGGGATTGGCAGAGAGTATGTATAGTCCCTTTATATAAAGGGAAGGGGGACAAGAGAGATTGTAAAAATTATAGAGGAATAAGTTTACCGAGTATACCAGGAAAAGTGTACGGTAGGGTTATAATTGAAAGAAGTAGAGGTAAGACAGAATGTAGGATTGCGGATGAGCAAGGAGGTTTCAGAGTGGGTAGGGGATGTGTAGATCAAGTGTTTACATTGAGGCATATATGTGAACAGTATTTAGATAAAGGTAGGGAAGTTTTTATTGCATTTATGGATTTAGAAAAGGCATATGATAGTGGGATAGTGGACAATGTGACAGAGTTGCAAGTTATATGGAATGGTGGGTAAGTTACTAAATGCTGCAAAGAGTTTTTATGAGGATAGTGAGGCTCAGGATAGGGTGTGTAGAAGAGAGGGAGACTACTTCCCGGTAAAAGTAGGTCTTAGACAGGGATGTGTAATGTCACCATGGTTGTTTAATATATTTATAGATGGGGTTGTAAAAGAAGTAAATGCTAGGGTGTTCAGGAGAGGGGTGGGATTAAATTATGGGGAATCAAATACAAAATGGGAATTGACACAGTTGCTTTTTGCTGATGATACTGTGTTCATGGGAGATTCTAAATGAGAATTGCAAAGGTTAGTGGACGAGTTTGGGAGTGTGTGTGAAGGTAGAAAGTTGAAAGTGAACATATAAAAGAGTAAGGTGATGAGGGTATCAAATGATTTAGATAAAGAGAAATTGGATATCAAATTGGGGAGGAGTAGTATGGAAGAAGAGAATGTTTTCAGATACTTGGGAGTTGACGTGTAGGCGGATGGATTTATGAAGGATGAGGTTAATCATAGAATTGACGAGGGAAAAAAGGTGAGTGGTGCATTGAGGTATATGTGGAGACAAAAAATGTTATCTATGGAGGCAAAGAAGGGAATGTATGAAAGTATAGTAGTACCAACACTCTTATATGGGTGTGAAGCTTGGGTTGTGAATGCAGCAGCGAGGAGGCGGAGGCAGTGGAAATGTCCTGTCTAAGGGCAATGTGTGGTGTAAATATTATGCAGAAAATTCAGAGTGGAAATTAGGAGAAGGTGTGGAGTTAATAGAAGTATTAGTCAGAGGGCTGAAGAGGGGTTGTTGAGGTGGTTTGGTCATTTAGAGAGAATGGATCAAAGTAGAATGACATGGAGAGCGTATAAATCTGTAGGGGAAGGAAGGCGGGGTAGGGGTCGTTCTCAAAAAGGTTGGAGGGAGGGGGTAAAGGAGGTTTTATGGGCGAGGGGCTTGGACTTCCAGCAAGCGTGCGTGAGCGTGTTAATATTTGGGACCTGACGATCTGTTGGAGTGTGAGCAGAGTAATATTTAGTGAAGGGATTCAGGGAAACCGGTTATTTTTATATAGCCGGACTTGAGTCCTGGAAATGGGAAGTACAATGCCTGCACTCTAAAGGAGGGGTTTGGGATATTGGCAGTTTGGAGGGATATGTTGTGTATCTCTATAGGTATATGCTTCTAAACTGTTGTGTTCTGAGCACCTCTGCAAAAACAGTGATTATGTGTGAGTGAGGTGAAAGTGTTGAATGATGATGAAAGTATTTTCTTTTTGGGGATTTTTTTCTTTTTTGGGTCACCCTGCCTCGGTGGGAGACGGCCGACTTGTTAAAAAAAAAAAAAAATGAAAGAGGGAAAGGCACCTAGGGATTGGCAGAGAGCATGTATAGTTCCTTTATATAAAGGAAAGGGGGACAAAAGAGTTTGTATAAATTATAGGGGAATAAGTTTATTAAGTATACCTGGAAAAGTGTATGGTAGGGTTATTATTGAAAGAATTAGAGGTAAGACAGAGTAGGATTTCGGATGAGCAAGGAGGTTTTAGAGTGGGTAGGGGATGTGTAGATCAAGTGTTTACCTTGAAGCATATATGTGAACAGCATTTAGATAAAGTTTTCATTACCTCTATGGATTTGGAAAAGATATATGATAGAGTGGATTGGGGAGCAATATGGCAGATGTTGCAAGTATATGGAATAGGTAGTAAGTTAATAAATGCTGTAGAGAGTTTTTATGAGGATAGTGAGGCTCAAGTTAGGGTATGTAGAAGAGAGGGAGACTACTTCCCAGTAAAAGTAGGTCTTGGAAAGGGATGTGTAATGTCACCATGGTTGTTTAATATATTTATAGATGGGGTTGTAAAAGAAGTAAATGCTAGGGTGTTGGGGAGAGGGGTGAGATTAAATTATGGGGAATCAAATACAAAATGGGAGTTGCCAGTTACTTTTTGCTGATAATACTGTGCTTATGGGAGATTCTAAAGAAAAGTTGCAAAGGTTAGTAGACGAGTTTGGGAGGGTGTGTAAAGGTTGAAAGTTGAAAGTGAACATAGATAAGAGTAAGGAAATGAGAGTATCAAATGTAAAATTTAAATTAAGAAAAATTGGATATAACATTTGAAAGAGGAAGTATGGAAGAAGTGAATGTTTTCTGATATTTGGGAGTTGACTTGTCAGTGGATAAGTTTATGAAGGATGAGGTTAACCATAGAATTGATGAACGAAAAAAGGCGAGTGGTGTGTTGAGGTATATGTGGAGACAAAGAACGTTATCCATGGAGGCAAAGAAGGGAATGTACAAAAGTATGGTAGTACCAACACTCTTGTATGGGTGTGAAGCTTGGGTTGCTAATGCTGCAGCGAGGAGGAGGTTAGAGGCAGTGGAGATGCCCTGTCTAAAGGCAATGTGTAATGTAAATATGCAGAGAATTAGGAGGAAGTGTGGAGTTATTAAAAGTATTAGAGGGCTGAAGAGGGGTTATTGAAGTGGTTTGGTCACTTAGAATGGATCAAAGTAGAATGACATGGAGAGTGTATAAATCTGTCAGGAATGGAAGGCAGGGTAGGGGTCGTCCTCGAAAAGGCTGGAGGGAGGAGGTAAAGGAGGTTTTGTGGGCAAGGGGCTTGGACTTTCAACAAGCACGTGTGAGCGTGTTAGATAGGAGTGAATGGAGACGAATGTCTTTTGGGGCCTGACGAGCTGTTGAAGTGTGAGCAGGGTAATATTTAGTGAAGGGATTCAGGGAAACCAGTTATTTTTATATAGCCAGACTTAAGTACTGGAAATGGGAAGTACAATGCCTGCGCTTTGAAGGAGGGGTTTGGGATATTGGCAGTTTGGAGGGATATGTTATGTATCTTTATATAGGCTTCTAAACTATTGTATCTGAGCACCTCTGCAAAGACAGTGATTACGTGTTTGTGAGGTGAAAGAGTTGAATGATGAAAGTATGGGATTTTCATTTTTTTTTTTTTTGGGGGGGGGGTCACCCTGCCTCGGTGGGAGAAGGCCGACTTGTTGAAAAAAAAAATATATATATTTATACACATTCTTTTTTATACCCCCTACCTGGTCACTGACAAGGCCCCAGGGGCATTGAC